CCAACAAAACTTTTTGGATAATCAAAGAAAGAAAAGATCTATTGGTTTACCCATAAGACCGTTGAGTCCAGTAGCGAAAGGCAATCGTTTTGGGTATGGCTATGGAGGCTATGGAGGCTACGGAGGCAATGGGTATGGCCCTGGATATGGATATGTAGATCCTTATATCTATGGAGGTCCGTATGGTATCGGTTATGGAAATTATGGTTATGGATATGGAAATCAATATTACGATCCGTATTGTCTTTAAAAATTTGTTTTATTGTATTTTATATACAATTTGAATGAAACACAACAGAATGAAACTTATAATAAATGTAAGTATGAATTACAGTAACATAAATAATTAATAATTTAGAGCAACAAATGTTTTGATGACATATCGTGTAAATATTATAATACAGTAATATGTTCAGATTTGGCAACAGTTAGTGTTATTAAGTTATAATGTTTTTGAGATTATTTATAATTGTTGAGATTACATTAGTTACAACTTATAAGATTAGTGTAAAGATTTTAACTAGAGAATAAAAATTAAAAAATTAATGATTGTTGTTGACTATCATTTTCATTAATAAAAAATTTATAAATACCATAAAAGTATCGTTTTTATGTAATACAGTGAATGTGCAATAAAATGAAATTCAAATAAATCACAAATCAAATTGACTGTACGATACCGTACTGTATAAATAGGAGAGCACTTCTTATGTACAAATCGGTTATATTATCATCAATTAAATTGCCATTAAAACCGCAAAATAGTTGCAAATATGGACTACTAATGAATTGATATCATAAATAGTGAATTAAATGTAACTCTTAGAGTATAGACATATTAGACATAAATTACAAACATTACAACCATTGATAAGGCATTTGTACATAAATTTGCGTCATATGAATGGATTGTAGTGTTTAAGTAGCCTTCGGGTTGAACACAACCTTCACATGACTGGTGGTATCGCCGGTGATCTTGTGCTCGAGTCTCATGTGAGAGTCGATGGCATTGTAGGGGTCGACCAAAGGCATGAACGTACAGATCTTGCATTGCGGCAGAAATTTTGGTTTAGAGGGGGAAGACATCACACCAGCACTTGTGGCCGATGAACATGTCGACGATATCGGTGTCTTAGTCACTGTCACCTCACCCTTAATCACACCACTTGGTCCAGGCGTCGATGAAATGGGGTTTGGGTTCACTTTAGTCTTCAACTTCTTCTTCGAGTCTTTGTCTTTATCTTTGGATCTGTTTGTGTCATAAAAATATAAATTACTGTCAAATAAAATGACACAAAACACGACAATTGATACAAACCGGGACTCTTTTGGCGGTGAAGGACTGGAAGTAGTTTTCGATTTGGTTTTGTGTTTGTGTTTATGTGTTCATAAAAATATAAATTACTGTCAAATAAAATGACACAAAACACGACAATTGATACAAACCGGGACTCTTTTGGCGGTGAAGGACTGGAAGTAGTTTTCGATTTGGTTTTGTGTTTGTGTTTATGTGTCGATGTTTTGTCCACCGATTTGGGGATCAGCTTCAGCTTGACTCCAGCGCACGGCTTGTTGTCCTTAAAGTGTCTCTTCTTGTAGTGGTGTCTGAAGTCAGCCATAGA